TAATGCATGATATGCATGTGATATATGCACGTAAGATAAATATCTGAAAGATGTGAAACTATCATAGATCTGTGGATACTATAGCTCATGCAAAGGACTTCGGAATTTTATCGTATATTGCCGATTAATTGTCAGTGTGTCACTCAGATCTCATACTCTTAATAGGAAAAGTAACCGTATATCCGTGATCTAATCATATGAAAGTTACAATCACTAGTGAATTAACTCATACCTTCAATTTTCTTCTTTACCTTCTCGGTGCCTCAATAATGAAGTATAAACATGCTCCAAATGAGACAGTGTACCATGTCGAATAAAGGCCTGCCAAAATTCATATTCAGCGAAGTCAGATCTTCAAAACAAAAAAGAATCAGAAAAGAGGTTCACTTAATTTGATCATTCTCCTCGCTCGATAGAGAATCAAGAAAAGAAAAATAAAACAGAGAGATAGAGAGAAGGAAAATCTTTAGTTGCGTACTCTTTTCGTCTGCTTTGGGACTGAGGACTGTCGTCAGCTAATCCTCTACTGGGTCTTCTAAGGAGATACGAGTAATCATACTTTGAACCTCCTCTAAGTTTCTAAGTTGACTTGCTGACTTGTTGATGATGGTTTTGGTGGCTTCAGAGATCTCAGAGATTCAGTTTATTGAGTTTTCTCGAAAGCATTTGAGTTTGACAAGACATTCTTTATATTTTCTGATACATGTTTGATGGTCAACCACCATATTCCATGAAGCTGCGCCATTGTCCCGTTGTTCATGAGTTGATATTATGGTTTTGCCACATTTTCAAACTCGATAAACTCTCACTGATTTCCTCTTCTGAATCTTTGGTGACGTTACCTTTGATTAGATCCTGTCTCTCTTTCCAGACGGAATCCAATGAAATGCCTTTTTTTGATCTCGTACAATTTTCGGAAACTTTTTATCTGAAAGAGAAAAAAAAAAAGAAGCGGGTTTCATACCAAAATGCCGTTGTGCTAATAGTGCTGACCTGCTGGGCAACACAACTGGTTCACCGGTGCTCCATTGTGTAAAACAAACAGATAGTTCACTTGTTGGCTCGTGGACAGAATCATGCCACTCGGCTCTTTATCTGTGCCATTAGATACTTCCATACCTGTTTTTTTGTCCACATATACACATTGGTTTAGCTGCAGTAACAGTAAGTTACCCTATTCAAGGAAGGGTACATGAATCAATTATACTATTAAAAACTTTCAAACAGTCCCATGAATTTTAGGAGCAAATGCTAAGTGATTCTTTATATAGAAGTATATAAGATCTGTTTTTTGCTTACTGCTATTTTCTTATCTTTTAGATTTTGCAATTTCAGAGCATAATTCATGTGAACTGAAGCATTATGGTATATGTGGGAGTACGAACATATTGTGTGGACGTTTTTTATTTGTTGGTAGTAGGTGCCATGTATTATATCTTTGAAGAAAGTTCCGATGTGAGTAGTTTGTAAGTAGTTTCAACAAAATTACAGGGGACAACTAAAAATATATAATATAATATTATATTCCTTTCTAACAGACACCCAGGTACATCCATCTTTCTAGTTCAGAAATTCATATCCTAACCCCCCTAGAAAAGAAGATATGATAAACATAGAAGTAGAAATTAAAGTAACCCTGGTGAAGAAATACATTACTGTCCTATGTAACTGAAACTGGAGCTACTACCACTAATTGACTCTGGTTTTACACAAAAAAGGTGAAGGGTCTAAGTGGGGTCATGATACTTGAATATGTATTCAAGAATATCAGGGTTTGCTAGAATTAGAAGGATTCGCGTTGGAACTAGAACAGAGGTTAAGATCAGGAAGAGTGCTTGGTTGATTTCCCTTTGAGTTTCCCTTTGAGAGTTTCTGTTTGAGCTCTGATAGCAGGGCCTGATTCTCCTGGTTGAGAAGCTGTGCTTTCTTCCTTAGCCTCTCATTCTCCTTCATTATGTAACAATTTTGCAGATACAGCTTTGAGTTCAGCCTATCCATGATGACTATGAAAAACCTTTCCGACTTCCAGTTATGCCCCTGAAAATAAAAAAGACAAAACAGCATCAGAAACAGTTATTTTATTACCAAATAAATCATCATATAGCTACTTCAAAACATCTTAGGTCCTTCCAAAAACATTATATTTAGCATACATGATCTACATATAAATATCTAATAAAACGTACGCTACATACAAAAAGAAGGAATACTTTAAAATGATACCCAGAATATCTATGACAATACATGCATAAAGAAGAAAAACAAAATGGTGGATACTGATATCTACGTAGAAGTCAAATAAATTCGTATTATTATTTAAAGAAATTACACCTAAACTGCAGATACAAGAGGAAAGCACAGCCAGCCGAATTAGTTTAAAGGTCAAAAGCAACTTATAGATTATGCAACAAGTAATAATGTGCCTTCATGATTTCTCGCAACCTTGTCCTCTCCCTTGATAGAATACAATTATGATAGTTGATACTAGAAACTACTAACAAAGAAGAACAAGATAATTTAAAAACCAAGAACTATTTAATTCCTTTAGGACCACCCCAGCATTCAAATGCTGCAATGTTTGTATGTAAAAAAGATAAAAGAGAGGAGACAGAGTTGGAACAAGAGATGTCAACATCTGCACTCATTAAAAATTGGCCTCTTTACTTTGCCCATACCTGAAAGAAAAAGGATAAAAGTTCTGAAGACAATAAACTACAGATTGAAGACTGAACTTCTTTGAGTCATACATTTACCTATAAATATGTGCGTATGCTTGTATCCACATACCTAAAGAGATAAGGAACAATTCTAGCATTGTAACCTGATGTGCTAGGCGTGTATATTCGCACATATTATGTTAACATAAACCGAAAGTTGTGCAAGAGCCGAAAGAAGCAGGAAGAGAACAATCTGAACGATAGACAAAGACAAAAAGAAAAACAATTTATTAATAAACAAAGAAAAGAAATAGAAGTGTTGAAGAATCCGAGGAGAGAAACAATCAGCAACAACAGACATTCGTTCCTCAAAGTGAGGTGTGAACTAGACAAATGCAAACATATCCAAACTGTAGGCTTCTATTGCTGTCTTCACACAGGACAGGGCAATGCAAAAGGTGTGTATTGGAGAGAGAAAAAGACAATACATCTGAGAATCTAGGATTCTTTGTTACTCACAGAAAACAACCATTACCCACCATTGCAACTCCTTACAACACTCTACAACAATATTTACCCATGTATATATGTTTATTGCAAAGTCTACATTTGTTAGTGAAAACAAGGAGAACCTGAAGAAGATAACAAAACAGATGTGTGTGTGTGTGTGTGAGAGAGAGAGGGAGAGAGAGAGAGAGAGAGGTGGGGGCCTCACTCTCTTTATCTTTTCAAGAAAGATCACCTTTTCAAGGTGGTTGGTTAGGGAGCTTTGGCCGAGGAAGCTATCTATCTGGTTTCTAACAACTAGTTTGCAGTAGTGAAAAAAGAAACTCTCTGTAATGTGAGGGACAAAATGAACAAAGAGACGTGTAATATATAGAGCTAAAAGAGCAAGACTGTGAGAGATAAATAAAAGAAAGAAAGAAAGAAAGAAAGAAAGAGAAAGAGAGGCTTAAGAGTGTGAGGGGGGACATGCCTCTCTCCTCTGACACAACAATCATGCATGTGTAAGCATGGAAGGCGGCCGGTTAGAGGCGAGGATTTAATGTTATGGTTTTTGTATGATGATGGTGATGAAGGATATGGCGTCATGTGAATGATGATGGGTTGGTTTTTTTTTTAGTTTGATTTTTCTTCGTCTTGCAGTAATAAGGGCATTTTGGTCTAAAAAACTTACATTATGGATATTAGAGGGACAATTATGGTTTTTTCGGCTAGGGACTTCTAAAATGATGGAGAGCTAGGCCGTCCCCAAAGATTCGCAATGATGATTTGGATTGGTTCGAACCATCATCACCACCCCATACACCACACCCTCTTCTCTCCCTTACCTTCTTCGCCCACGGTCATCATCAATTCTCTTTTGTTTTACTTCTTCCCATTTTTACAATTTCTTTTTTTTTAAAAAAAAATATTTCTTCGTTATATTTTTCCTAATTAATTCCCAGTGTTTATTTCTCGGTTTGGCAACTGTCGGTAATCATCATTCTATAGCCGTATGCTTTCCATCTTGAAAAAATGGCGGTTTTGTATTACTGAGTTTTTGCATTTTTTTTTTTACCATTTCTTTGTTGCTCAATTGCTTCACTTTGTATATGTCACTGTTGTCAAACAATTATACCTATATAGCTGGTCACATCAGAATTAGGTCTATTCCTATCTTAGGGGTAAATTTTGAAAACTCATTTTTTTTCCCCCCCATTTTATTATCGATCTACCAAGTGCTTATGCATCGTGTGTTGTTTTTTGACTAGTTTATTATGTGGCAACATGAAATGACTGTAAAGTCCCCCTACAGCTTTGCACTGTAAGCACCATTGATGGTGTTTTGTTTTACGTTATTATAATCATAATGATCATGGGCAGTAGTAGTATCATAAGTTTCTTTTGAGCAAAATTTTTGCCATTTTTAGGGCGAGTGAGCTTGAAATAATAAAAGTGTAAGAAGGGGTTGTTCGGAGAGTTGGGCCACATTTTTCAACCACCCTTCCTCGTGGGTTATGAGTGCCGTAACGTGAAAAACATCATAGTTTGACAGGTTTTTCGGATGGGTCTATGGGCAAACTTGTCAATCCAGTCTTATTCCCCCCCCTCCCCTCGCGGACCTCGTTCATTTTGACTCTTCAATTTGGGCTTCTGCTTCCTTCATTCAATGTATTGTTATGGGTCTTCATTCCGTGGGCTACTTTCGATTGAAATTACCTTCTTAACCTTAACGGTTGATTTCTCTTTCCCTCACTTTTCAACTGCCTTTCTCTCCCTCTGCGCTTGAATTTGATGGTCAATTGTCAAAGAGGAAACTGAGAAAAATCAAAGTTTACTTGGCTTCGCGATGCGATGCGATGCATCCAATATATAATCCCAGTCCCTTTCTCTTTCCATTGTGTTTTTTTTTTTTTAATCGTTCTTTCTATTGTTATTATAACTGTCATCATTTCATTTCTCTGGCTAGTGTAACTTTTTGGGTCTCAATGAGGATGCTTAATTTAAATAATGCGAATACTAAAAGTTAGGAAAGATTTCGGGACACTTTGCCATGGCATAGTTAGTTTAGATTTAGCTCATCTCGTACATGCGACAAACACGAGAGATAGTGTTTTTTAATTTTCTCTTTTGCGAACATGCCGCGCAGGGAACATGAAGTATGGTTTGTCTGCATGCCATTGGTGCCTTCCTAAGTTTAATCTTATCCTATTATATTGAGAATAAATCCTTCTGAGTGGCTTGTGACATGAGATTTAAGGTTTTTTTTTTTTTTTTTAAATAATAATAATAATTATAATATGAAATTTAACTTTTTTATTATCATTTAACTGTTTAAGATTATTTTTAATTCTAAATTTTTTTTTTTTTTGCTATCACGATTTCTTTTTAGAAAAAAGAAAAATTATATTACTTTCGAGTAATACTTTCAATTATCATATATATTTTTAATTTTTTTAGTAAAATTTTAACAATAAATAAATTATTAAATTAAAATAAATTATCTAAATTTAATATTTATTACAATTTAGTTTCTTAATACTCTCTTCCTTACGATATGGGCCCTAACGTTATTAATTGATTTCAAAATATAGTTTTCTTTCATTCTTTAACTAAAAAAAAATAAAATAATTATATTATATTTGAATATCTTAAAAAATATTCAAAAAAACGATTTTAATTTATTAAATAAAATAATAATGATTTATTGTTGACTTAATTTTAATTTTATTTTATTAAGTTATTTAGTTAAAATTATTATTTAAATTATTTTTAAAATACGACTTATGTATTTTAGTTTTTTATTAAATAATAAAAAAATAAAATAAAATACGATTAAAGATTAAATTGTAATTAAAAAAATATTATGAATTAAATTACATTATTAAAAATTAATTTAATAATTTAATCATAAATTTATAGTTAAAAATTGTCATATTTATTTTTATGCGCGGATAATTTTTTTACCCCCAAAAATGATTACGTAAGCTACTGAGATAGCAGCTATTACCAAAGGAAAATTTACTGCACACGCAATTCATTCCTACTTCGTAAAACAATCTGTTCGATTTTTAAATTGCAGTTTATGCTAAATCTTTCCTTTCTCTCCTGCTTTAAATTATTTCTATTTACTCAGCTTGTATTTCCTCTGGATTAATGCAATCCATATGTATATGTATAAATTCTTTTATACCAATTCCTTATCATAGATTTACAGCCTTGCTCTGCATGCTTCTCCTAAATTTATATTCCAGTAGCCATCCCCTAAATTCCCATTTCAAAAGTCATCCGAGCATAGACGCGCACGAACAATGACAGATATGGTTTTTGTGTCTCCTAATGTGATTGCATATTTTTAAAGATCATTAATTTGGACAAATCCTCGGTCTCTTTTCAAATATTTTCGTTCCCACATGCGTAAAAGTACTCTGTTCATAAATTTCTTCATAAATTTTAATTTAACTTTTGTTCGGAGTAAGTTTAGATTCATAAAAAAAAAAAAAAAAAAAGAAGACTTAACTAGAAATCAATGTTCTAACACAGCATCTACTGCTCACAAATTTGTCTTTAATGCTCTTATCACAAATAGGTCCTAAAAAGTTTATTGCCCCAACATCTCCATAGGAACCATTATCTTTTTTTTCAAAACAAAAGGGAAGTTAAGTACTAATAGGGAGTCAACAAACCACCCATATAGGGACAAAAGAGGTTCTCTCTTGTCCCAAAGTTGAGAGAGGTTAATTGGCTGCCAAAGTGCATCTAGCTAGAGGAGTTATAACCCTGGTCTGAAGCGACCAATGATGGCAAGCCTTTAATAATAATGGTTATTTACTCGCTTGTAATCCTTTCAATTCAAACCCCTCTTAAATAATCTTATTGTGTTAGTTCATTTGCTAGAAAAATCTGCCTCTTATGTTAATATAAGGGAGGATGCTATTAGAATTATACACAATAGAACATAAGTTTTAAGTGTCCAAAAATTAACTTAAAAATAATTTTACTTTTAAAAATATGCTCTTGGCTTTGTCTTTACTATTGAATCATCCTGGTCTTTATTGAAAGATAGCAAAAAAAAAGGTAATGATTTAAGTAGGTTATGGGGAAGCTGTTTTTTCTTGATAAATATCTTTAGATAATGCTCAATAGAAATTTGTACGATTTTTGGGGGTTGAATTGTAATTACCTATAGAAGTATATTCAAACTTAAAATTTTACTTATTTTGTATAAATACCCGTTTAATGTTCTTTAATAAAATCATGCTCTTATTTTTTCCAAAACACTAGAATTTCAAGCTCTTTTTTTTCTTGTCTTCCCGAACTTTTTTCTCTTTGTTATACCATCAAAAATTTTTCAATTTCACTCACTATAATTTAAAAATGAGTGCAAATTATTTACAAATTTAACACATAATGTAAATTAATAATAATTGGCATTCGTAAGTACCTCACTTCAAATTATGATCATTATCTGTTTGACTATAAATACAATTATATATATATAGTCTGATTAAGTAATAAATTTTTATTTTACCTAAATTAAATAAGAAAATAAAAATTTATATATCACTCTTGAAACAGATAAATAAAATTATAAAAAATTTTGTTTTTGATTTATAAAACTTTAATTTTTATTTCTAATAGATACGTACAAATATAATATTTATTTATAAAATTTAGGTTTTCAACATTAATTAGTTGGTCAATTTGATTTTCAAATACATTTGTTTCTAAAAAGGTACTCACTAAATGAATTTTTTTTCTTCTTGTACTTAAATTCGACAGTAGTAATAAGACACACAACAATTTAAACATGGTAGCTTAAATTTACAAGCCCTTTAAATCGAACTAGGAATATCTTTTATTCAATTATTACCAACAAAATAAAAGTTAAAACTATAAATACCCTAATTTGACCCCGATTGGACAGCAGTGATGCTAGTAGACACGTGAAGGCTTGAAAATTTGGCTCTAGCCGAGAGTATCTTTATCATCATTGGTGAATGTGTGATTTAATTGGCGGGTATTATAGTTACATGACCCACATGCAAAAACAAGGTGTGAGTGAAATATTAACTTTTAACAAAAAAAAAAAAAAAAAAAGAAGATATGGTTAGTAGTGTTATTATTTTTTGTGGGTGTTAATTATTGAACTTTTTTACTGCCAAATGTTAAATTTTATCATCAATAAACTTAATTGAGATATTAGTAGTCTAATAAATCCTCTAATACCATCTCATTTTAAAAAGAATTTGAACCGTAGAAAAATTTCAATTACCAAACTTTAAAATCTGACATTTTATAGCAGTGGACTACGAATTGAGTGGTTAACCAAAAAAGTTCAGGCGTTTACGCTCTTTAACTAAAAGCTTGTTTAGTAGAACTTCTCTTATTCATCCAGACTGCTTTTTTGTTTTTTGTTTTTTGTTTTTGAGTTTTCTTTTAAGTTTCTACTTTGTGATGTCATGGTTAATAATGCCTCATAATACCAACCCCCTGCATGGTTAATGATGAGAAATTCACATTATTATGGTTTCTTTTAAGCAAGAGCTCATTGAACCCTGCACGTGAGCTCGGGGGGGGGGGGGGTTTTGATAATTGTATTATAGAAATTTATTCTAAGAGTGGTTTATCTCTCTGGGACCACTTTACTGTGGCTTTTTTAATACAAAGAACCCTCTTCTTCTTCTTCTTCTTCTTCTTCTTCTTCTTCTTTTTCTTCTTCTTCTTCACCACTTCAACTCATTCTGTTCACACATGTACCAAGTCAGGCTTCTTCCTTTTTGCCTTTTTCTTCCTCCTTTTTATGTTCTTTTTAACTCTACTTTGTTTTATTGATGTTATTATTATTCCTTTTATTCTTGTTATATAATCATTAAGAATTATTGGGTTTGGTTGCTTAAAGTTTTTTTCTTAATTTTCTTAGTGATATTTGAAACTTCAGTATATGGATAAATAAATTTCTCTATCATAAAAAAAAAAAACAAAAAAAAAAAAAACAGCTAAAAATTTTAAGTTTTTTTAGGTTCATATTTAAGTCATTATAAACAAATTAAAAATTAAATTTAACACAAGAGTACTGTAGGCTTGTATTTCATCCACATTTTAATCCGAACTGTGACTGAGGTTATGGGTTAGATTTAGATTTAGGTTTCAGGTAATAAATTTGGTCAATTTTTAAGACACATCTCTATCAATTATCTCATAATATTTTAATTAGGAGCACAAATTTCACTAACTGCGTTTCTAAATATATGAAGATAAATTCAAAGATAATTTTTTTTGTAATATCAATAATTTTTTAAACTTAAATTTTAGAAACGAAAATTAAATTGTTGATAATTAGTAATATACTGCTCAATTATAATTTGTGATTTATAATTTTAACAATAACATAAAAAATACAAATTCTCTGGAGCATGTGATACTTAAATCGCATATCATAATCATTAGTAAAAAAATAAAAGCTTTTTTTTATAAAGTCTCACTCATCCCCTGTACACAAATTGAGTTTCATTTTTTTTAAAATGAGTCGTTTGATTTGAAAAGTTAGTAAATCACAAGGAATTTCACTTTCACATTTTTATTATTTGTTTTAAATGGTTTTTTTTATATTATGTTTTAAATACTAGCAGCACTTTAGTCGGATTCAAATAATATATATTTATATATATAAACAATCAATTGCAACTTTTACCAAAATGTATTCCTACTTAAGATCATGCTCCCTTCTTGCCCATTTAGCAAAGACCAGGAAACTTCCAATAAATGGTGAAAACCATGATTTACACAGGCTTTAATTTGATTTTCAAATTCATTAATCATTCTCAAGTGCATAAATTAATTTTTAATGTGTCCAGCTTTTTATTTTTGTAAGTTTGTTTCCATATTTTTATTCAACATATTTGGGAGAACAATGGAAAAAAGTCTTGGCAGTAAATTGCCCCACTTTTCCAGTCCTTCTTACTGAATTTCTGCAACTAAGCCTGAACTGGCCTCCTCTGTGGTAGCAGTATTCATGGAGTTTAATCATTATGCACCCACCCTACCTCTCTATCTAATTAGACTCTTACGGATCCATCCTTCTCGTATATCTGATTTTTATCTTCTTCTTTAATTTTGCACAGATGACTTTTAACTGTTTTAAAAAGTGTATCTGGAACACAAGATACTTGGGCCTTCAAATTTTTGCACTAAAAGAAGATCCACCTTTTCATCTCCACATTCACAGGCAAGTGTTCACCGTCTATGATGCTGTTCGGTTGAGCGGGTCGAATTATGATGCCTTCTTTTAAGATGAAAGTATCAAATCTTCATGTTTATCTACCGTTGTTGGATGCACTCCTAATCAATCTTAACCGTCCGGTGAATTAAAGTATTATATTTTTTTTTGATAGATTTAAATACACAAGTATTAATATATAATTTTTAAAAAACTATTCTTATTTTAAATATAAAAATTAGAAAAGCATGATAAGAATTTCCATGTTTAAAGTTTGATAGTGATACAATAACTAGATTCGTGTAAGACATCCAACCACCTAAGCATATCATCATCACATTCATCATGTATATATATTATTTTATATGTACTGCTTTAGAGCTTTATAAAAAAAAAAAAATAAAGGGTATAAACGGAGGTGTGAGAGGTTAAAAACCTTATCCCTCCCAGGAAAATAAACTTCTTTATCCACACTAATCCATGTATGTAAGACCCACTGAGTCTTTTTACTACTTTATCTATAATCATACCCTAAAGAGGAATCTCAACTTATTACCAGTCAAGCAAAAATTCCAAAGTAGATATATCACAGCTGTAGTTGAAGAAAAAGAAAAGCATCAAACTTGACTTTAATGAAAAACATTGTCATTAATCCGAAAGATTGTGCTTGAATTTTAGGAGGCATAACAAGCATGTCTTCGATTAAAGACGGAAAAAATAATTACAAATTACAGATGGATACCACATTAATAGGCCAAAAACACATTTATAGAGAAAAAGGTGGAATAGGAGAAGTTCATCTTAGTGATTAGGGAATCTCATCTTGGTCGGTACTTGGTTGTGGGCCTGCCTCGCGATGCCTTGGATTGTAGTCGATGGCTGGAAATTTTACCTGGGCTTTGTTATCGGCCATGTCTAACTACAAAGTCTTCTTTAACAGCAACCACTGACCAAATCAGGCTGGGCTGAGATATCGTGTTGTTGAATTGGAGATGGAGATGTATTGAATAAGATGTGAAAAACTTATATAAATATAAATATTTATAAAACTTACCTTTTGTGCAAAATTTAAAAAAGTAGAAAATCTTATATAAATATTTATAAATTATAATTGTTAAACTTACTGATAATCTACACGATTCATTGAATTAATTTTATTAGATTCTAATGTTTATTTGGTCACATTTCATAATATTATTGTTTAAACTTTGCTCTGAAAATAATCAAAAGCTAAAAAATTTGACTTGCAATTTTTTAGAGCCAAGAAAAACAATAAAATTGTAAACATAGAGTTTTATGATTTTCATATTTTTTTATAATCCGATATTTATCACTTCATTATTTATCATTTTACATAGAATTTTTTGTCATTTTAAAATACTTACTATTCTAGCAAATTCAAGGACATTCAGATAAACTAAAAATGATCTTTTCCCCATTCCCGTGGACTAATATATAACATGTAATAGCTAGCACATAACTAGTAAAACGACGTAGCTTTTACACTTTACAAGCAGGATTAGACGCGAGGCTTCTCAGCCAGACGGAATCAGCCATAGCTGCCACATCATCATCGTTTCGGTGCCAAGACCAGAGCGCATGGGTTGCATTCACCACCTCAAACCGCCCATGCCCGAAGCTTGCCTCTCGGAACATTGATATTTCAGGCTTTGGCTCAATATACCTGGACCAAAATAATTTTATTTAATCAAATAAATTTTACAGAAAGTAAAATATAAAAAAAAGAAAGATCTGTACCGTTGAATTTTAAAAGCTTAGACTTACTTGCTAGCAAGTCCTTCCCGATTGCCCCCATCTCCAATAATGATATACACTGGAGCACAATCATCAGCTTTCCCTTGGTACACCCGAGTCTGATATTGAAATTAATCATCTCTTCATCACAAAACAAAATCATACGTATACACTTACATATATAGAAGGGAAGATTAATTAGCTTACAAATCGCTCGTACGCATGAACATGACCAGCAAAAACGACGTCCACTCGAGCCTTGTAGATAATTTCTTCCATGAATTTCTTCATATCCTCAGATTCAGACTCACCCTGATGCGCAGTATTTGAATTATACCAAGGGGCGTGAACAAGCACCACGACCCACGAAGTTTTCGACCTGTCGACCTTGGCGAGATCACCCTGAAGCCACTTATACTGATCCGATTCGGGATCAAAGTCTGTGTACGATCCCAAACAGATAACGTGGACGGCGCCACCGGCGACGTTAAAAGAATAGTAGAGATTGGAAGTGGAAGCACTGTCGACGTGATCAAACGGCATCCGCCACCTGGCGTTGTAGGCGGTGAAAGACTTGGAGTGGAAAACAGGAATTTTCTCGATCTCGTGGTTTCCTTGCGTGACCATCCATGGCCTTTGGCTGGCGAGTGGTTCCACAAGGCGGCCAAAGGAGTCCCAATATGGTTGGTAGAAATCTGCGTAGGACAAGTCTCCGGGGAGTAATAAAACGTCGTAGTTTGTGCTTCCTATGTGTTGTAGAGTTGACTTTGTCCATTCGGTTTGACCAAGATCACCTTAATTGACATTAACATCAAATACGGTTAATTTGATTAACCATTAATTAGCGAATACTTTATATTCATTCATGAAATCTGATATAATTAATATATTAGTGTTAAGTAAATTAAAAAAAAAACGTACACATGTACATAAATACATACCTATAACTACGAATTTAATAGGGAGACGAGGAGGAGGAGTCTTGAAAGTAAATTGAGCACTAGAATTTGAGCCCAAACGATAATAATAGACTGTGTCTGGATTTAATGGACCGATGACAACATCATGAATGTCGCCAGATTTATATAGAAGATAACGATAAGAAGATGTAGAACTAGTAGTCGAATACTCCAGATTCTCTGCAGATGTACCGTACTTAATCTCCATTGGTGTTGAACTATGAGTAATCCAGGATATTCTCATCTTGTCTTCTCCGACTAACGATATGTGTACCTTCAATAATTAGCAACTAATTAATATACATAATATCTTTAAGTTATTCTAATTCGAAAATATTTATCCATAATTTTATTAATTAATTAGTTAATTTCAAGTACTGTCAAAATAATTAGAAGAAAAAAGAACAAATTAAAACAAAACGACAAGAAACACACATGAAGGTTTATGTGATGACATGACACACGAGATTTTTGCATGTAGCGGAAAACGAAACATCCTTCCGTGATGACAAGTACCACTTCGTCATACGTAAACCTTTACTTTATATATAAAAATTAGTTATTACGTAAAACGACATCGTTTTATCCGTGTTCTCCTGCAAATTATATCCATCAGCAAAACTCAAGCTGATATTGTGAGGGGAAGGGGGATTGGGGAAACGACAACGCTTTAGATGAAAAAGAAAATGCAGTACCTGTTGAGGATAATTAGAATCAGAATCTGAGGGATGAGATACATCAGCATTTTTCCGAGCAGGAGGCCGTTCATAAGACCAGACGCCGCCGAACAAGAAACCACCTTGAACCACCGCCATTATCGTCACCATAAGCAATACGCTTTTATTCACAGCCATGATAATTCCCATGCGACGGTGACGATGACGATGACGACGATGAGTCATCAAAAGTATCAAAGAATTTCTGAAAGAAGAAACACAAGATGCTCTCTCTCTCTCTCTATATATATATATATCTGTCTATCACGTAGTAATTAACGGGATCTTCCTTCCTAGTATATCATACATCTAACTCTTTCTGTATACACGTATATATGCTGCGTATATACAGAATTGACGAACAGTTATATATGGTTTTAAATCTGCAAAATTTACTTGCAATACCGAGTATATATAGAAAGTGATCTCACTCTATGAAGAATATCAGCCAGAGGATGACGAGCCGGCCTTAATTAATCATCTGATTATCTGCCTAACTTATTAGGAGAAATTAATCTGGAGCTGATTAAGACAAATATCTGCTTAAAGTTTGTAAATGTTAGATTACAAATATATAGCTTGAACCTTTCTGTGTGTTTTTTTTTTTTTTTTTTTACCTTCTCTTTAGCGATTTAATTATTTTTATTACGTTAGATAAAATTATTAATTATTTAAATTATTATCTTCCTTTTTTAAAAATGAAATAGTATTATTGTCGTGTATTACTACAAAAATTATGAGTCGCACACAATATATTTGACTAAAAATTTAGAATAATTAATAATTTAAAAATTATATAAAAAGGGTTTTAAAAGTTTGTAAAACTGAGATTCTGGGTGTCATTAGGAGGAAGCAAGTAGTTTAGCTTTCAAGATCCGCGAACGCGTTTGTGAACTGCCTCAATCGGTGCACACATATGTTGTTTGCCATCGCAAGTCAACTGGACCCCACTCGTGACTTAACCGAAAGTACTTATTGAGTGTAGAACTCTGAGCCCTTGCTTTATTGTGTAGAAATTATAGTTTTGTTTTTTTATATTTAATTTCTTTAGTTATGGTTTTTCTTTTTCTATATACAAATTTTAGGCTGCTCTTATAATGTTTTTATTTTATAATTATAATTTCTTTAATATTATAATGTTTAGTACGTATTTTCTTGTATTAATAAATTTTCTCTTTTAAAAAAAGCATGCATAAAAAATATTCTTTAATAATTAATTAGTTTCGTATAAAATGGTGAATTCCAAAATTCAAAACACTTTATCATTTTTCATTGTTATTATTATTATTATTATTATTATTAAGGCTATCAATCGAATATGCCGTCTCCTCACACGAATATAATTATTCTCATTGAATATTCTAGATTCCTAATATTATTATGATTATTGTATAAGAACTAATTAAGGCAATATTTTTAATTGATTAATTAGTAAAACTTAATCATCGACAAATGCTTAAAAAATGTATATGTCTAACGTGTTCCAGTTTCCAAAACGCATCACCTAGAGAAAACATTTGAAAAATACTTAATTAGTTAATCAAGAAATTAATCTTGATTACATTATATATAATCATAAAATTCATGCCACCTATGCATGTACATTAATTTGTCTACGTTTTTTTCCAAATGTATATTATATATAGATTGAAGTAACAAGTGACTAGTTGAATAATTTATATGTATTCATTTAATTATTAATTAATGTAGATAATATTATATATAGTATATGTATAATTAATTTAATTGCTGTACAATTAGTACATTATTCTTTACTGTATTTAACAATTATTAGCATAAATTATTTTAATTTATCTCATATTTATATTCCAACGTATTGTTACTGAAATATGATATTGTTGTTTATTGTATATTGTAATTACTAGAATTTTAATTTTTGTTAAATGATATGAATTAATAGTAACAAAACAAATATATTTGTTATTATTTTTACATAAACTTTGTATATAATTATTTTAGATTAATATAATTACACCAATTATATATTTTTCTCACGTTTAGAAATTCTATCTAAAATGACAAAATTATATCCTCAACGAACATATGTACAGTCAAGAACTTTTAGCTCCTGTTATATATATACATATATATTTAAAAGGTTGGTTATAAGTTGAGTCTTATTTTACAATTATGTTATAAAGTTTTTAATAAAGTTTATATTAATCGTAAAAAGAAATTATATTCCTTAATATATATATATATATATATTAGTTGGCACTCCAAACATCTCCAAAGCGAACTCATTAATTGTTGTTACTTCGTTTCTGTGCTTTTTAATGGGGCGGCAAGACTTCCAATATCTTTATTTTTGGAAGAACAACACTTCAACATTATTCAAAACTTCCCTTGTTCCAAAAGGCTATTGATTATCTACTTAAATTTAACTATTAATCCGTTGGAGTTGAAATAATATATATATATATATATATATATATATATTGCTTATTATCAGCATCTTATCCTTATAGGTCTTATAATTTGATAAACTTAAAATGTTTCCTAAAATAATTATAGAACATATATTATATTGTACATAACATTTTTAAAATACGAAATTAGATTAATATTCAAACTTGAACTTTTGATTAGGTTAACTTAATTGAAATAATTAAAATATATTAAAATTTTAACTAATTTTTTTTCTCCAAAAAAAGCTTGAAATTTTCAATCTTAAACATTAGTATGTCATTAATATAAGCTATTTACACTTGATAATTACTTATATAAAGCTGTAACCATAAGCACTGTATATATTTTTAAAATTAATAATAAAATATAGAAAATCATCATAAAAATATGAAATGAATTGAAAATTATATTTTTATATTTCAACCCTTGTCATATATTTACTGTATTCTGTAAACATACTTTTAATTTTCAAAAACTACTTAAATAAATTTGAAAAACCAAAAGTCAAAAATAGATCTCTACTAAAAATTCAAACACATTCAAGTGACCACAAATACTTTTGACAATGCTAGCTAAATTTGGGAATCGAATTTAAGAGTATATTATGCAACATTGATATAATGTATTTATAATTTTAGTACTTGCATTTGGTTTAAACTGCAATACCCTTAATTAATTTTAATGTAATTAAAATTAATGTATAAATATAATTTTTTATTTTTTGAATTTTTATTTAATGTAAAAATAAATAAAAAAATAGGTGGATGATAAAATTGAAAATAATTTTGAGAAAAAAAGATAAAAATTTGAGTTCTATGAGTGTTTTGAAAGAAGAATAAAAAATTGGAGGTCCAAATGATATTTAAAAAAATTGTGTCATGTAGGACACCCAGTCAGCAGCCCTAACGAACCAGAGCGCGCTACGTGGCAAGACACGTTGATGCGATGTCACACGGGAGGCAACGCTAGCGATCCGTGAGCCCGCAATCGGATGATCTAGATCAATTTCTGTGCGCACGGACGGTCCGGATTCATTCTCCCTTTAAACGCAATTGGACGGCTTAGATCAAATCGCGATGAATGGTCCAGATCCACTTTCTATTTAAATGTGACCGGACGATCCAGATTTAAAGAAGACGGATATAAATACCCCTCTTCACACCAAACCCTAACCCTATCCGCCAAACCACCCCGTCCCCTCCCGCCGGAGAAGAAGAGCCAGTCGTCGGGAAAGTAGTCGACCGCTGCATGCCGTCGTGCTGGAGCCACTTCCGACCGCCAAAAGAGGGAAGTTTTTCTTCATTTGCTCAAAATTCAATTTTGAACTCCTCCATGGCCAAATCAGAGCAAAAATACCAACGGGCGAGCCGCAAATTACAGGCAAAGTTGGCAGTGCCGTCGCAAGAAGAAGTAAAAAATTGCCTCTAATGAGACCCTTCCCGATTTTTATTTCGTATAATTTTTCCACAATTGTAATCATCATTCCTTTCTCTACAAATTGACTGATGCAAAACACCCAACCGTGAAGGAGAGCTGCCAAAGCTGCCCCATCGGAAAGCCCTGCCGGTGGTAAGTTTTAATTTTTTAACTTTTTTCGGCCAACAGATGCCCCTTAAAGTATTTTCACGCAGGGGTGGGTACAAAATCAGTCGAAAACGGCCAACTTGAGGCAAACTACTGCCGCAGGCAATGGTGTTGTCATCGAAGCACAGCAAAGCCACCATACCAAAATTCTGGAATTGGCCAAAAAATGTTTCTAATACTGATGTTGTGTTTTTTGTTGTATTTCTAGGTACTTAAAGCGTGTTTTAATCCCCAAAGAAAAATTTAAGGAATCCGGAGACCACCAGTAGATGCAGCTGAAAGTTTAGTATTTTAGAAATCAATTTGAGTAAGAATCCCTCAACTAATTCCTTATTATGGAATTAAAGTTTAATTAATCATAATACGGTATTTTGTGTAATTTAAAAAATATTTATAATTAATTACAGGTGATTAATGGAGTCAGAACCGGTTATTTATTACTGTTTGCCATGTTTTATTGATTGATTGATTTTACTGTTTCGAATGCATGATAATACACTAGAATTGGTATGATAATTCGATTGTGCTTTCTTGATACATGTATTGCTTATTTTACATTATTTACAATTAATTGAGAAATTAGAAATTAAAGGTAAACGAAAAATTATTTAATTAAGTGAATGAATAAATTGTAGCCTTACTGGATATTCTAGGAAATGGTGGACGAATCAGGTACATAGAAAATCTTACCGTGAACGTTGTCTCATATCGGACGGGGTATCGAGGATTGGTAATTTGGCGATCATACCGAACGAGATATAGAAACAGCTCGTTTTACTCTCATGTCAGACAGGGCATTGAGGGTTGGTCTTTTGGCACTCATACCGGACGGGGTATGAGAACGACCCATTAATTGAAAATTTTAAAAAATGATTCATGCGTACTGGAGACATCCCTATGGACTACCATGGATACCAGTAAACTGATAAAAGAAAAAGTTGTTGCTGACTGGTTACATATGAAATTATGATATTGTTTATGTTATTGACTCTATAGATTGGTTTTAGAAATCTTGCTACGGTAAGTATGCGGTAAATTATTTTATTTATGAAAAACGAATTTACTTAAATTAAAAGCATCATTAGTTATTTTCATGATTTTTACCAACCTTTATTTCTGTGTCAGTGAGTAGTATTATATTTTTACTGGGATAGTGTAACTCTCTTTTTCATTAATCATTTCAGATTAAGATAACCAAAATTTAGAGCTCGATTCACAAGAGAGTTGCGAGTAGGACCCAGTTATTTTTTTTCTATGTATTTCTTTAATTTTTCGTTATTTCTTTTCAAATGGTTATTCTCGTAATTCTATTGAGTAATTTGAATTATTGTGTAAGAAATATAAACTCTAACTATTTATTTCGCTTCCGTATTCAATTTATAATTTATTTTCTTTCAAGTTCACAAGTCGTTTCATAAACATATTAATTTTACCCAATTTACACATCTTATATTCAATTTCGTAATTATAAATTTATGTTATTACATATATAATATTGTTTTTATTTTATATCTTGATGATAACTTTTGTGATACCCTATCAGATGATATGTTTAATTAATATAATTAGGAAAAATTAATTTGAAATTATGGAACGTGCATGGTGTTGCTTCTCAAAAAGCATATGCTAACGAATAATCATATTCTTACTCAGACCATCACATGATTTATTCATCTAATTTTTATAATAACGTGTTTAAGCGTGATTAGAGTAATTTAAAAATCTATTATTTTTTTCAATTTTTTATTAAAAAAATAAATCAATCACATACGAGTAGCTATCTATATAGTTCAAGGTTGATGATTCATGATCTATCCATAAGTCATTGCTGCAAGCTTGTCTAAAATTATAAATCAGTTTAAAGTTACTTGCCATTGTGTATATATATGTATATGTATATACCCTCATTGCCAAAATATATATCAGTTCATTATTTATGAAGCTCCAACAATTCAAGATGCAGAAATTATACCAACGAGCTTTCCCTCTCCTCATCATAACCATTTCTGCATTCCCTCTCATCCAATCTTCCCATGTCTATCCCGATTTTGTTCGTCAACCTCCTCGTAAGCTCGTCTTCACTCCGCATAATCGATCTGAATCCGACCCTCAACAGGTACTTTGTGTCTACCAACTTACCTGCTTATAATGTTAGTCGATCGATAATTACAAAATTGTTAGTTTATGTATATGACTAAATTATTTTATATAAATTTATATTTTTAAAAAATGTATTATAATTTAAGATGATAGAATAAAAGATTCAGTGTTCGTAATAACGATTATCATTTCATTAAGTATAAAAACATAATACTGTCCGTTGATTTTTTGAATAATTAGTTTTCTTTTTATGCTAAATTCACTAAGTTTAATTATTTGGTTTAATAATCTTAATTTCCATGACTATTCCCTCCAATATTTTTCTGGGTGTATTAGAATATATAGATTTATGGTGTGCGTATATGTATATATAGGTGCATATATCATTGGCAGGGAGAGATTACATGAGAATTTCTTGGATAACAGAAGATAGAGAGGTTTCATCAAGGGTAGAATATGGGAAAACAGCAGGAAAGTATACTGAAATGGCAACAGGAGACCACATGTCGTACCAATACTTCTTGTATAGGTCGGCTAAGATTCACCATGTCAGGATTGGACCTCTAGATCCAGCGACAGTATATTATTACAGGTGCGGTGGTCTTGGTCCTGAGTTTTCGTTTAAGACTCCTCCTCCAAGTTTTCCCATTGAATTTGTCATTATCGGTGAGTAGTCTATATTTACTATATACGTGTAAATATACATATATGTTTAAATTTACATATATGATTAGTATATATAAGAGTTTATAGTGAATGAGGGTTAATGAGATATAACAAAGTTACTTGTAAGTTTTGTATATGTATGTATATAGGTTGAGCATGGTGAGATTATAACCCTAACTCTTTTCTTCAACGTTTAGTTATTGTTGCTTTTAAGTCGGGATGTCTCTTTATTGCGTTACCCAACTTTTGGTGGCTTAATTTATGGATACGCAACACTTGCATACGTATATTTTCACCAATATTAACATTAATATTTTCTCAATTATTAAAAATATCTAGATTTATTTTTATAAAAAGTTAACAGATTAAATTTGAGTTATATTATTATATTAATTCTTTAAATTTTGATATTTAATATTTTTTGTTATTACTATTTTATTTTTGATATTTTCTGTTTATTTAAAATGCTCGATTTTTTCTCTTAATTAAAAATTAAAAGAATTTGGTGTTTTGGAAAATAATTTTTAAAAATAGTTTCGATTAATTAATAAATCAATACGATAAAGATATATGCTTAATATTATTATCAATTTATTAATATATTAGTTAAATTGTTTTTTTAAAATTATCTTCACCTAGTATAATTATTTTAGTATTTTTTAAAAAAAAATAAAAGATATTAGAAGATGAAATTATAATTAAAAAAATATTAGAAACTAAGATATACTAATTTAATAATTTACTGTTTTTTTTTTTATTAAGATAAAGTTGAGATTCAACTGGATTAAACTAAACCCGTTAATCATTTTTCTGAACCTGTATTAGACAGAACGACCATCTCAGCCATCTGATATCTCTTGTATAATCATCTTAAGTCATTTAATCCAGAAGTTGCCTTAGCGTATATCCAGAATTATGTATTTATCTTTTGCATCCTCCTCAACACTATAGCTATTCAATATATAATATAATATACATGTACATACATGCAGGTGACTTGGGCCAAACAGAATGGACCACATCAACCTTAACCCACGTAGCCAAAAAAGACTACGACGTCTTCCTCCTCCCCGGCGACCTCTCCTACGCCGACAGCCACCAGCCGCTCTGGGACACCTTCGGCCGACTAGTCGAGCCATACGCCAGCCAGCGCCCATGGATGGTCACCGAAGGCAACCACGAGATGGAGATTTTCCCCATCATCTACCCGCACGGCTTCAAAGCCTATAACTCCCGCTGGCTCATGCCGTACAAAGAGAGTGGTTCTCCCTCCAACTTGTACTACTCTTTCGAAGTCGCGGGAGCCCACATCGTAATGCTCGGCTCCTATACTGATTTCGGGTCCGGGTCGGAGCAGTACCGGTGGCTCGAGGCGGACCTGGCCATGGTTGATAGACAGAGAACGCCGTGGGTTTTGGTGCTGTTGCATGCGCCGTGGTATAACACTAATTTGGCTCACCAAGGGGAGGGGGAGAGCATGAGGGAAGCTATGGAGGAATTGCTTTACCGGGCTCGAGTCGACGTCGTTTTTGCTGGTCATGTTCATGCTTATGAACGTTTTGTAAGTCTTGTTTATTAACTTTTCTTTTCGTGCTTTTAAGATTTTTTTAAAAAATTTAAATTTAATATTTTTATGATAAAAGGAGAAAAAGAGGCTCAAGAATTAAATGGTAAAAATGTGTTAATATTATTTTATTTTCCAAAATTTGGTGACAGACAAGAATATACAACAAGAAGGCTGATCTATGCGGGCCGGTTTATATAACCGTCGGTGACGGAGGGAACCGTGAAGGACTTGCCCTAATGTAAGTCATTTTTTAAATTCTTAATTCTGATATTTTATTACACAAAAAAAATATATACATTTTTTCATTTAAAAAAAAAAAGAATTCGGGCTGGGTTTAGACTCCCCTCATAACTGAACTTGGCCCAGCCGGTAGTCCGGGCCTGTCAGCCCAAACCCGACCCGAGCCCATGACCATTTCTATTTGGATAAGTCACGATGACCTGTAATCAATAATTTAGGCAACATTTTTAAAATTTGACTTCTGATAATGTCAAAGTTCAATGCAAGGGAGGAAGAAGAGGTTGAGCTTTTCCAAATTCAATTTAGGGTGATTTTAACTATTATTTTCTATACCAGTTCTATAGATATTACTCGAAAATCTTAAGCACATATTATGCAAATTTGTCAATTTTTCTTACTATTTATTGGTTCGATCGTCAATTTTGATCTCTAACTTGCAGACCTTTTGTGATTGTATAATGGATCAAATATATATAATAAATAAAAACATTTTAAAAAATTACAATATTTTATGTTAAATTTTTACATGCTTTTTATTTAGTGAAATTGTAGGGATATAAGCTCTTCTCTTTTAAATAGCTCTTTTTTAAATTAGATATTTAATAGCAAACAAAGTATCTTAATGTAAGACAAAACTAGATAGGCATGCTTTTAACCACCCTCTATATACATACATACATATATATATATATATATATATCCAAGTTGAGTATATTATTGGACTATTTGCCAAGATGTTACTACCCCAATTCGGCCGACATCTAGAAAAAAACTATTATCCTTTTCACATTGTAACAAAAGCCTCATGGCCAAACCACAAGAAATAGAAAGGGAAAATAAAAAAAGCATCATCTTTCCAATAATTCCTTGTTGAATTATACTTTGTAGTTAGTGGGAGATGTTAAAAGAGTATATACTAAGCAACCTTGCTTGCTTTGATAATGTGAATGCAGGTTTCAGACACCTCCCTCTCCGCTCTCCTTATTCCGAGAGCCAAGTTTCGGCCACGGACGACTAAGAATCGTTGACGAAATGCGAGCATATTGGTCGTGGCATCGGAACGATGATTCTGACTCCATTGTTGCTGATGAGGTCTGGCTTCAGAGCCTAAGAAAATCCAAATCATGTTGGTGTAATGCAACAAACCCTGACCCATCATTATCACATTCTAAGGATGAACTCTGAGTTGTTTAGTGTTTAATATTTGGTTTGTGTTTGATTTAATTATTTTCTGATTACAAATTTGATAAAATTAATGTAAAAATTAAAAGAACTGATTAGAAACTGAATCAAAGTCTGATTTCAGATTTTAGTAAAGATTACAAAGCACTTGATATCGAGATGCCATTCAATTCTATTTTATGATCCTTCATGTCATCCTCAATGGATGATTAGAGATAGAGAATTCACAAAATTCACCTTATTTGAACAGGGTTGATTGAAGATCATCAATTCAACAATTCGGATCTTCTAACTGGGTTAGACTATGTTTGGATTGAATCAATTAATTTTGTTGAGTTTCACTTAAAATTTCATGCTTACTTCAAGTATAAGTCATGAAAAGAAGAATTCCAAACGAAGGCAATTTCATTTCATGCAATCCAAACATACCCTTAATTAAGTAATCTGCAAATCAAACGCAACATCGCATAAAAGGAAGAAAAAGATTCCTTTATGGCTATAGAATAATATAACAATAATGGGCATTAAACGACCTCGTTTTTGTTGATTGGCAGAAGCGCACACAGTAATAATTCAAACCTTCAATCGAAATAGGAAGAAGAAGAAGCAGAAGGAGAATGAGAAGAAGAATCTACAGGAAACCGGACTTGAAATTTTCCACCCCAGAGAAAAAGAAAGGAACCAGAGGAGTTTCATATTTTTTACAAGCAAAGCCACATGATAGAGTAGAACTTATTTTGAAAATAAAAATTAAACAAAAAATAAAAGAGGGAAGAGAAAAATATATTATCAAGCAAGCCCCATAGAGAACGAGCACGTAACGAAATTATAGCACCTTGAAGGACGATTTCTGATCAAATGGGAACGGAGATCATCAGCAATCTGGTAGGTCCCGTATCATCTTTCTGGATAATCCTTCTCTTCAAAAGGAAAGGTAAGGAAATTGACGGTAAAAGCCAATAGATCAACGGCTCCACTTCAAATCTTCTCAAGCTTCTCCGCTTTAACCAATGGATTCGCCTTCGCGATCTCCTCCCTCCCGAGCTTCTTGAAATCGAACGCGCAGCCGTGCTTTTCAGGGTACCTATGGACCCCGCAGAAAGTTATACCGCACCTGCACGCGAACCCGGTCAGCCCGACCCGTTTCCTGCAAACCAAGCACCGGTTTGGTTGCTGTTTTGTCGCCTCCTTTGGTTGCCGATCTTCCGCCACCACCTCCATCGCCGGGTTCGGAACATCTCCGCCGACGTCTGGAAGGACCGGGGCCGCCGGAGAGGAGACAGATCCGATCGCTGGAAATGAAAGGGGAGGAGATGATGCGGACGCGGCAAGAGAGGATTCGACGGTAGATTTGATGGAAGCTTGCTGCTGCTCCTTGAGACGGAAATCTCTGTAACACTTGGAGCAGAGATTCATGGTGGCTGGGCTGCCAAAGAAGCCGCAGTTGTTTGCGCAGAGACGGTGGCCCTCTGGTGCTCTGCATCTGTGCTCCTCCGCCATATCTGATTTATCTCTCAGATCTCTTAAGTTTTTAGTCGAAAAAGAAAATTCCGATTTTGGATATCAGATCTCGAAAATTTATCTCAAGATCTGCAAACGATAAGGTAACAAGAAAAGTAAGATAAAATTTTAGAATTATTACGATTATGCAAGTAACTAACCGCGTTTGGTTCTCGAGAAAAACTCATAGTTCATCACGGAAAATTTGACGAAACGCAAAGAAATAAGACCATCGATCAGATCCGGGCATGAAAACTGATTTAATTAAGGAACACAATAAATTAAATTTCCCTACGTTTTCTCGGCGACCAAAAATTTTAGAAAATAATTAAATAAATAAGAAAAAGAAAACTAAGATGAAAATAGACAAAGTAAAAGGAGAGAATTTGCACCTGGATTCAGGATTCAGAGAATTCTGAAACAGAGAAGGAGAGAAAGAATCTATAACCAAGAAGAATTATCAGAGAGACACAGAGAGAGAGAGGGAGATAAGGGAAGGGAATTAAAGAGAAAGAGATAAAGAGAGAGAAAGCAACGAAGAAACGGGACAAAAGTGATAAATAAAAAAATATTTTTTAAAAAAAATTAGGGAGAAATTAATTATTAATTAATAACAATAAGTTGATTAAAAGGTGGATTAGAGATTTTAATTAATTTTATTAAGGAATAAAAAAATATCTGGTGTACTGTGTACAGGCTGGAGCTGGGAGCCAAAATGGAAGTCCAGCCAGCCTTTCTAGCTAAGTATTATTATTTATCCACTTATTGACTCTTCCCTGAGCCGTTCAAACGAAACACGGCCACTGAAATTCATGCGTCGTTAGGAGAGCAAATCTGTTACGGTCACCCGGCTGTCATTTTTTCGTGATACGTGGCTTGTAATATGTGGTTTTTTTTCTGAGGGTGTGAAAATAAAATATTCAAGTGGGGTTCTGTTTGTATGGGGAAGTTGTTGGGTGTGAGTTAATGATGATCATGATTGATGATGGACCTTTCTCATTTTCTTTAAAATATTTGTACGTTTTTTTATTATTATTTATTAACCTTAAAAAATAATTAAATGATTGTAAATATTTGTATTCACGTAGATACTACTTTTTTATGTAACATTTATTTAGTACTGTAGTTATAGTCTATTCTTGATTTTTTTTTCCTATATCTATATATTGTTAAAGTTACGTTTATATATATATATATATATATTTATCGGTTAGCCTATGATAAGAATGACACACGTCAAATTATCTAAATTTTTAATATCTTATAAAGATATAGGGAAATACGTGACTTGATTAAAGGCCAAAGATATTTTAGATATATATTATTAAAATAGTTAAATTTGTTTATAAAATAATTAATCACTTTAATTTTATTTTTACAAAATAAATATTTAATACGTATAAATTGAATAATCTAAGAGGTATACTAATTAATTTGAAAATATATATTACGATTATGTGATTTTTTTTTATTTTTAATTTATTATAAATGAGATTAAATCTCAAATACTTGTGCATTAAAATTTATATGGTATTATAGCTTTAATATTAATTAATATTATCAAATGTAATGTAAAGAAATTAAGAATTTTACTACTTAAATTGAAATATCATAAATGATAATTTCTAAATAAGTAACTTTAAAACATAATTATTTTGTGAAAAGGGTAATAATAATAATAACAATACTGTTTTACTTAAATTCATTCAGTGAACCATTTTAAAGTTATCTGAATACGAGTTATTCAAAAATTAAAATAAATTTAATTTTGTTAAGTACTAAATAAAAGTAAAAAAAAAAACAACTATAATTTATTTTAAAATAGAAGAAATGAGCCCATATATAATAATAATTTACAAAGACTTTACTGTTTTAGAATTAATGAAAAAATAATATAAATAAAATATCATTCTATAAATACAATTTAATACTTGAAAGTGATTGATTTGATTCTAATACTTATTTTAGATAATTACATTGCAACATCCGGACCTGAAATTTGCTCTGAAATAAATTTATAAATATAAATAAATTATTAAATTTTTTATTATAGTTTATTTTTATTCAAATTATTGAGAAAAAATGAATTATAAACGAAATTGAAAATAATTTTGAACAAAATTGGAGAAATTGTGAATAAGATTAGTGTTTTTGAAAGAAAATTTGAAAACAGGGGGTGAAATCGCAAAAAGAAAAAATAGAGTCACGTGGGGCGGCCACGTCAGCAGCCACAACGAACTAGAAAATGCCGCGTGGCGGAGACACTGACGCGGGAGGCCATGCGGGCGATCTGCGTGCCTGAGTGATCCGACGGTCCAAATCGCATCCTGCGCGCATGGACAACTTAGATATGTTTTTCCTTCATGTGCGATTGAACAATCAGATTCAATCCGATCGTGCGGTTTAGATTCATTATCCGAGTAAGAGGGATCCAACGGACGGGAGAGGACCACGTGTCATCGCATGGACTGCCCAGATCAATACGGTGAAGGTATTTAAACATCGCGTTCCACAGAACCCTATCCCTAACCGCACCAGTCTTCATCGGAGAAGAAGAAGAAGGGCTGCCGAAAAAGAAATCGATTGTCGTTACCACCGCACCGGAGCTGCTGTTGATGCCAAAACAATAAATATTTCCTCCTCCCCATTCGAAATTCGATCCCAAGTCACCCTATGCCCAAATCAGAGCCAAATGATCGATTGGTGAGCCAAAAATCGCGAGTAAAGCTCGACCGAGCCGTCGCAGCCAAAACTCAAACCCTCTCCGATGATCCCTTTTCTGTTTTTCGTTTTGCATGATTTTTTTACCACAGTGTTCATCGTCTTTTTCTGGTGCAGCTTAGTTGAAAAGGGACCTCAGCCACAAAAGGAAGACCGGTGGAGCCACAGCACCCAGAGAACCCCCATCGGTAGATTTTGATTTTTTTGCATTTTTTTGCCAACTGAAGTCTCCTACTCATTTTTTTTACTGGTTTACGTATAAATC